CCCCACCAACCACCGCCCCCTCCAAAGGTGCTGCCCGAGGCGCCGCGCGAGCTGGTGGAGGAGCTGTCGCGGCGCTACGTGCACCTGTACGAACGCATCACGGGCCTCCCCTTCGCGCCACCCCCAGCCGGCGAGCCTGTCGCGCAGCGGATCGAGCGCGCGCTCTCGGGCTTCAAGTAAGGCGTGCACCTTTGCGCTGGAGCCATCGCGCAGCGCGTTGCGACGCGGTGGGTAGCGTACGTGATTGACTTCTGGTGGCGTTTGTTGAAAAGCACACGCACATGTGTGTGTGTGTGTGTGTGTCTGTGTATGGGTGTTTGTGTTTATGCGTGAGCGTGCCGACCTGAATCACATGTGTGCTTGTTGATTTCCTGGACGTCTTCCGGCGCTGTGGCACAAAGCTGCCTGGTGCTGCACACACCCTGAAGAGACCGGCTGCATTTGTAGTGTTTTCCTTGGTAATCGTATGAGAAGGTAAAGAAGCGCATCTGGAATCTCAGCATCGGTCGTGCAGCGCACGCACGCTTTGCTCATTTGCAGCAGCAGTTGACATGGCGCGCTGACTCGAGTGATAGCGCTCGGGTGGGCGCATGAACCAGTGTCTTGCAGTGGTGCAGACGAATATTTGAGATTGATTTTACGCTTACGTAATCAACAACCTGGTATACAACACGTGGCTGGCTCCAGCGATCTTGGCCGATCGAGTAGCGCCGAGATGGCGCAGGCCGGGGAGATGCTCAAGTTTTGCACCTTAGAGGTTGGCATCTACACCTATGCATCGGCAGCCTGCAGGCACTGCGTGCAGTCATCGCTGCAGTTGCTTGCAGCCCCGCCGCTGTGTCGAGCGCTGGTGTTGCGACGCCCCCCCTCAACACACAGAGCTGCGTCGACCCCTCCTTCTGGTCTGAGCTAGCCAGCCGCAAGCTGGACCAGTACAAGCTGTCGGAGGCCCCAGTGGAGATAACAGGTGGCTGCCGGGTCTACCACGCTGGCGTGTCGGTGACCTACCTATTTGTTGGTGCTGAGGTTGTTGCTGAGCAGCAGCCCGGCATTGCTCACATTCTGCATGCTTTGACGCACACGCGACACCTGCCCCGGCGGGCCACACGTGGTGCTAACGCACCCCAGAGTGTGCCGTGCCGCAGGGCACCTGACCGCGTCGCGACACACCGAGGTGCCCAGCCAGCTGCTGGTCCTTGGAAGCTCGTTTGAAGGCCCGGGCGCGCGGCGTGCACAGGTGACTGGGTGCGGCGGGACGAACGGCTTCAAACGGCATGAGCCCCGACGCGTCGGCAGCAGCGCCCCTGGCTGCCGGTGCCCGCCCAGCGTCAGAGGCGCGTCGGCCGCGACCAGTATACGCACCAACCAGGGGTTGTACGCGGACATTGCATGAGGCATGGTGAGCATGCGCTGCATGCCGCGCGGCGCCGCCATGCAGGGCGCCCACGAGCTCCCTGGGGACCTGCTGAACGTGAACACGATCGAGGGCTTCAGGAACGCCGACAAGAGGGCGCTGCTGCAGCAGGTGCGCGCCGCCTTGGTCGATGCTGCACACACAGTGAAACAACAGCGCCATTCCAGAATCTTATAGCTGATGTAGGCAGGTTTCGATCCTGTGCGTTGTCAGTCAGGCGACCGCAAAGCCCGCAGGCGCGGTCAGCAGCAGACCCTGCCGCTCCCGCCCCTGCGTCTCCCGCGCGTCGCCTCGACACGCGCTAGGCCGGCGCGCGGATCTGGCGCGACATCGTCAGCGGCGCCGCCGAGGCGTCGCCGGAGCTGCTGTCGCGGTTCTTGGTGCTCACTTTCGGGGACCTCAAGCGCTATGAGTTCACGTATTGGTGGGCGCCACGGGGGGCGCGCACGGCCACCGGAAGTGCCTTGCAATCCCATTGCCACAACCTCATTGGGTGTCGAGGAAGCCAGCCCCAGTGGCGAGGAGGCGGCCTGTGGCCCGAACCAGCTCAGGGACCCCCTCGTGCTGCCCCGCTCCAGGCCGGCGGCGACGCGGGCGCTGGCTGCACGTGTGCTTCCAAGACGCCGTGGTGATTGTTCGCCCTCGCCTCCACACTCAACCCCACGAAGGCTGGGCCCCTGCTGAGCGTCACCTCACCCCCCTCCCCCGCCCGGGGGCCCCCAGGTTTGCCTTCCCGGCGCTCAAGCCGCCCGCACCGTTCCAACAGCTGGCGGCGCGGCCGCTGGCGGAGTGCCTGGATGCTGAAGCAGTCGAGCAGGCGCGTTTTGAATTTGGAATGTTTGTCCCGACGCCGGCTTGTCCGACCTGTTTTTTTGGCCGGGCAGCGCACCAGAGCCGGCGTCCAGGGACCCTGCCGCCCGCAGCACTGCATAGATCTCTTCCGATGCCTGCATGTCAGATAGAATCATTACTTGCTCATCGGCCCAAAATTGTCGACATGCTCATGTACCCAAAACCGCCAGGTCGCCGCGGCCTGCGACGCGTGGAGGGGCCTGGCGCCCGCTGATCCTGCCTGTCCGCCTGCCGCCCCCGCCGGCCGCTCGCCGCCGCCCTTCTTCCTCCTGCGCCTCGGCGGCGCCGGCGGCCCCGCCGCCGAGGCAGTGCCTCTCTCGTCCTGGCGTGAGGCGTCCGCCTCAGCTGACACCAGCACGCCGCTGGCCGGCAGCAGCGCCGGAGCCGCCGCCCCATCGGATGGCGCCGGTGGCGGCGGCGCGGCGCGGCTGCTGGTGGCGGTGGCGGACCCCAGCCAGATCCCGCTCGCCCCCGGCTGGCCGCTGCGCAACCTGCTGCTGCTCGCGGCCGCGCGCTGGCGCGCCCGCGCGCTGAGCGTGCTGTGCATACGCGACGGCAAGGGGCGGCTGGACGCGCAGCGGTCGTTCATCATCGACGTGGCGCTGCCAGAGGTGCCAGAGGGCTGGTGCTGCGGCGGGGACGGCGGGGCGGCGGCGCCGGACGCGGTAGGGTGGGAAGCCAACACCCAGGGCAAGCTCGCGGCCAGGTGCGTGCTCGGGTCACGGTTTTGGGGGTTCCTTCTGCGGCTTGTGGCCGCCCGCTTGTTGCGTGCTGCCTGCACCCTGGGGATCCCCTGCTCTCCGCACTGCGTGTAACGACATCAGGCGCCCTGCGGCCCGCGCCTGAGGCCACGTCATCATCATGCGCTGCCTGCAAATCGTGCCCCCAGCGGCGGCGCCCCCAATGCCGTCCTGCACACCATCCCTCGCCCCCCACCCGCCCGACCCCGCCACCGGACGACCCCTGGGTGCGCCCAAAACGAAACAACCACCCCTCGTTGGCCAGGCGCGTGGACGTGAGCGCCATGATGAGCCCCGTGGCCCTGGCTGACCAGGCGGTGGACCTAAACCTCCGCCTCATGAGGTGGCGCGCCGCCCCCGCGCTAGACATTGCAGCCCTCGCCGCCACAAAGTGCCTGCTGCTCGGCGCCGGCACCCTCGGCTGCGCGGTCGCGCGGACGCTGCTCGCCTGGGGCGTGCGGGACATCACGTTCGTCGACTCGGGCCGCGTCGCGTTCTCGAACCCCGTGCGGCAGAGCCTCTTCACCTTCCAGGACTGTCTTGGCGGCGGGCGCCCCAAGGCCGAGGCCGCGGCCGAGGCGGTGCAGCTGATTTTCCCGAGCGCGCGCGCCAGGGGCGTGGCGCTTTCGATCCCCATGCCGGGCCACCCGCCGGCGGACCGCGGCGCGGCTGAGGTTCGCGCGTCCGAGGATGTGGCGGCGCTGGACGATCTGGTGGCGGCCCACGATGTTGTGTTCCTGCTGACCGACAGCCGCGAGAGCCGCTGGCTGCCGGCGCTGCTGGCGGCGGCGCGGCGGAAGCTGGCTATCACGGCGGCGCTCGGGTTTGACGGGTTCGTGGTCATGCGCCACGGCGCGCCCGCAGCGGCGGCTGAGGGCACTGAGCAGCAGCAGCAGCAGCAGGAGCAGCAGCAGGCGCAGCAGCAGCAGCCGCGGCCGGCCGGCGGCGGCCGGCTGGGCTGCTACTTCTGCAACGACGTGGTGGCGCCGGTCAACTCCGCGGTTGACCGGTCGCTGGACCAGCAGTGCACCGTCGCGCGGCCGGGGCTCGCGCCCATTGCGGGCGCGCTGGCCGTAGAGCTCATGGCAGCACTGCTGCAGCACCCCCTCGGCGTCGACGCGCCCTCGGCCGCCGGCGGGGAGAGCGCGGCGGCGCTGGGCCCGGTGCCGCACATGCTGCGGGGCCAGCTGTCCGGCTTCAGCCAGGTGTCTATGGAGGGGCGCGCGTTCAGCCAGTGCACAGCGTGCTCGGACGCGGTCGTGGCGCTGTGGCGCGCGCGGGGGGCGGCGTTTGTGATGGAGGCGCTGCGGCGGCCGGGCATGCTGGAGGAGGTCACGGGGCTGGCGGAGCTGCACAGGCAGGCGGCGGCCGCGGCGGAGGCGCGCGCCGCCGCGCTCGAGGCGGCGGCCGCGGAGGAGGGGGGCGGTGTTGGGGGCGGGGGTGACGATGGCGAAGGCGACGAGTGGACGGAGCTCTGACACGCCTAGCACGCGAGCCCTGTGGCAGCGAGCGCTTTCTGGGGAGCGCCGCTGCAGTCAACCTCTGTGCTTGATGGCGGGCAACACTGCAGGGACCTGCTTGTCGCGTTGTCTGTTTGGACCTCGTGGGGCCGAGGCCATCGTATCCTGACCCTGGCTCACCGTTTTTCCAATCTTGACTCTTGTGGCTGTTTACAAGACCAAAACTAACACCAAAACTGACAAATGCGAGACACACTGCTGACGCCGTGCCCTTCACATACCCAGCAATCGCAGAGCCGCTGGCATTGCAAGCCTGCCACTGCCGCCACTGCCGCCGCCGCCGCCGCTGCTCCTGATGCTAATATTACAAGCTGGCCGGCAGGTTGAGCGGCAGCGCCTTCCCTCTGTGATTGAAGAAGACGAAATCCGGCCGGAACGCCCCCACATCCATGCTCCTGCGGCACGTGTAAGCATGGACGGGATCGGCGTAAGTGAAGTTGGCAGGGCGAGTGCGTGTCGGCTTGCCCAGCACCACGGCACACGTCTTCTTTCAGTACCCAGGCCGAGAGCCGCCAAACGCCCGAAGTGGCCTCAAAGGCTGTGTATCAGCGCCTATCTATGTGTGAGCACACGCGTGCGGTGCGAGAGGGTCGCTCACACGCCGCCTGTTATGATGATGGGTTTCAGGGCGCCGGCCAGCAGGTAGCCTCCCAGCAGCGACAGAAGGGCGCCCGCCAGCACCTCCACCTGCAGCTGGAAGGGCAGCTGCTCGAGCTCCTGCTGAGTCAGCTTGAGCATGTTGCGGTCTATGGGAAGACGGGGTAGGGAACAGCGGGGCAGGCACGCTCTAATTTGGGGGGGGGGGGGGACGG